CATGCACAGGATAGGGAAAAGGCCTCAGGAACACACAGAGTGTCAGTTCCTGAGAGTAAATTCCATGGACACCAAGCAGAAAGAATCAATGATAACATCTATTATAACCCAATGGGAAAATATAATATAAGATATGCACTGGATAGTTTCATCTTTTACCATACACAGGAACTTATATTTGTGGAAGAAGGATGGCATACTGGAATAAGAAAAGAGTACCTTATCAGAGTCTGTCTGTTACAGAGAGATTGATACTTGTGACCCTTTTGTAGAAAAGGGGACTGAATAAAAACATATCTTTCAGACATAAAACAATTGTTTGAGCTTAAATATTGTCCTTAAAACATTGTACCCACATCTACTACTTTTAAACTTTGTAACCACAAGCAGCTGCCAGGTGACATAAGGGCTGTGAGAGCAGGATGTGTCTGAGTCAATATACATATTGTATAGTTAACTGAAAAAATGCTGAACTGCATGTTTAGAATAAGGTTATATGGGGGTGGGAAAGTATATTTGGGGAAGTAGAAAGGGAAGCAATGTGAGGTTTCAGAATGGTTGCAATGTATTTCTTAAAAGATGATGTGTTTCTTAAAAGTCAAAAATAGGAGCCAGTAAGAAAAACTCTGCTTATGTATAAATAAAGATGACTTGAGTTACTTGGGGCCACGTGAGTACATTCCACTTTGTGGCCAGAATTTTTTATTGCACAGACTTCCCTTTTCCACCTCAGGACTGAACCTGAGCTGAGGCTGGATCCCCAACAACTATCCTAGAATATTCACTCAGTTGTTAGTCATAATCCCAAATAGAAAACTACCCAGATTCCCATAATCAAAGTTAATAAATGAATTAATAGAAGGACATATAATGAAAAATTAGAATAAAAGATTCATCATTTTAAATAAAAGATAATTTATATGTTAAGCACAGAGTTGCTGGATCAAAATTTAAGCAAATGAGTTCACATTTGATGTCTTAGATTATACTAAGTATTAACAAAAAGCAAACATCTCTAAGAAAACTAAGTACATGTGTCTGTTGATAGAATTCAGGACTGTAGTTTCTCTGTAGAGTTAGCGTTGCAGAAAGAACACAGTGGCAGTAGACAGGTGGAAAGTTTAGATGTGATTTTCTGCTTCTTAGCTCTCAGTGAAGATTGTCTACCTTTTTTTTTTTTCTGTAATCACACGAGGTTTATTGACAAGTATCAGTGCACTGGGGCCGAAATTCATAACCCACGCAGGGGAGGGGTTCGACCCCCGACTAACTGGGAGAAGGGGTTTTTAAGGGAAGAAACCACAGCCCAGTAATCCGAAGGAGATAGGGAGGGCAATAGAAAATTCTGAAAATACCAGTGATGATCACAAGGGGGCAACTCCCTGTTTCTCAAGATTACTCTCAAAATTACAATCTAAATTTTCCTCAGTAGTTCCTGAATCACAGTCACTGAACCAGCTAATCCTAGAATTCTGATTCTTCCCTCCCTGCTTAGATTTTTGGATCTATTTTTTCCTGCTTGGGGAGGGGGGGGGGGTCTGGATTTATCCAAGTCTTTCACTCCCCCAAAGTCACAAGAACCAGTCTTTAGGGCTCCACTCTAATGATCTCAGGCACTTCAGAAAGGTCCATTTCTAGACACCACAGTCAGCTAAGTTTCTTGCCTCTTCTGACAGTTAGTGCAGGAATTACAGAAGGCAGGGCCTGCATGAGTTCAAGGAACAAATTGCAGCTCTCAACTCCTGGCTCTCGCCCTTCTCACACACAAAAATTCCATTCAGCCTCTTGTAGCCAAGAGCCTGCAGCATCAAATCCAGTTACTTTCTTCTAAATGGGGCATGGGGAGAGAGGGGGATGGAACTAACACAGCATAAACAAACCTTCCTGTCCCTAAAGGAAGGAATGAACTAGTGATGAATAATGAGCTCAAGGCAGAAGCAAAGCCAATGGGGCAAACATCTAATTCCAATTTTCCATGTCACCTTCTCTGTGGTGTCTCTGTGGTCATCTTGTCCCTGTCATTCCAGTAGGCATTGCCGTGGATGAGGCACTGAGCGTCAGCTCTTTCTGGACGTTTTGGCTCAGCCTTGCCTCTGTGTGGACGATTCTCTGTGGTGTCTCCACCTCTGGGATAGATCCAGAAGTTACCTGAAGTCTAGAAGGGTGTCTCCATGCTCCAGTGGGCTCGACTCTGGCGGCTGCCAGTGGAGATGGCAAGCTGATGGTCGCGACTTCCAGAGGCTTGCGCGTCATGCTGCTTGAGGATTTCTGAGGCTGGTGTTTGAAGACACTGGGATCACTGCTCTTTTTCTGTGGTCTCCAATGTGGCTTCACTCCCACCGCTCCATGAGACATCACCCCATCAGACGAATTCCACAGGGACCCCCGCTTGAAGGCAGCCTTCCTGGCCTCCCAGGGTTTCCTTTTTAGCTGTGCTGAGAACCGCTGGGACTTCAACTCTTCATTCTTTCTGCCTGCAACATCTCTAGTATAGGAACTCCACCAAGGGCTGCGGCTTCTAGGTGCCACAACCGGGCCCTTGGGAATCAGGACTGAAGTTAGGCGTCTCTCTGGCAGCAAACTAAAATCCCAAGTCAGCTTTGGGGCTCTCTTCTGGAATCCCTTCAAGGTATCCTTATTGCTGGGATTCAACCCCAACAACCCCTGTTTACCTTTGTTCACTTTAATCTTCTTGTCTGGGGAATGTTGTGGCCAGCCTGTTCTCTTTATACCCTCAGGGCTCCTCTGGCTGAGTAGCTGTGTTTGAGCCCTAATAAAAGCTCTCTTAAAGGCCTCTCTTTTCTCCGTCATTAGACTGTACGCCTTTAAGAGTAGCCAGGCAGCAGCCTGTGTGCTTCTCTGTTTTGAGAGCTCCCTTGCTAAGCACCAATAGTCGTCACAATGAAGTTCAGCCTTCCAGGGTGCCTCTGGACAAGGACACAGTACCTTCAACTTATCTTCTGGATTTCCAGCCTCCAAGAAACAAGAGCTAAGTAGACCTTTTTTTCTTTTATGCCTAGGTTTCTGAATCAATTGATATATCCGTAGAATATTATACTTAGGATTCCTGAATATCTCTGAGTACATATTCTAAATTAAATGTTTTCTTTGGGCATTTTAAAGTTTTTATCACTCAATCAGTTATTAATCCATCCATCCATCCATCCATCCATCCATCTATCCATTCATTCACCCATCCATCTAGGGAATAACTATTCAGAGAGTCTATTCTATGTGGTGTGTGTTGCTAGGCAAATTGGTGATTGCAGTAATACTACTTTGATGAATTTCTTTACAAGAACCTTTCTCTAGTCCACATTTTAAGTTATCGTCTTTGGTTGTTGAAAAGTTTCCAGACTTGCCTCTTCTTTGTTTGTTTTACCCTCCTCACATCCACTTTCTACAATATAAATTTAGCAGATCAGAACTTGGGAACAAATAGGGCATTTCATTTGCTTAAGATGACAAAGCAAGTTAGTAGAAAATCAGAATTAAAGTTGAGCTGGACCTGCATCAGGTGTTCATGCTGATGTCCTAATTTTACCTATTAGAAGCTTTGTGGTGTTCTTAAACATCCTGCCTCAACCCTTCATTCTACTAAACAGTCTCTTTTTTTCGCCAATAGACCTTAATTATCATGCTGACTTGTCTCAGCTGTTCCTACTTGTTATTTCTAACCACCTGTGTTGTGTTCTGATAACTCCATGTCCACATGGTAGTCATTTTATCTAGTTTTCTGAAACTCTCCCCATTGCTATTTTCACCTTTAGAACAATATCCTGTAAAAACCTCTCAGAAACCCCCAGTTGCCCTATTGACAGTAGTTTTTAGGTTGCAATCTGACATTTAACTATATTAGGCCTTGATCTTCTGTCATAAACCTGCTTCTCTACACACACACTTAATTACTCATGGATATTTGTTATTGACTCTCTTCAAATTCACTTTAATTTCTTTTCATTTTCTCATGTCTTCACAATTCCACAATTGCTTATTTTTGACCACCTTATTTCTACTTCTCAATGTCTGTATTTTGATTCTTTTAAGACCCACTGATATGTAGTTGTTATATAGTTTAGATGTGAAAGTCTCACAAGTGTTATTATTTATAAGTTTTGTCCTTTGTGCGTGTTTATATTAAAAAGTGATGAGAACATTTATGATTTGGCATAATAGATAAATTAATCTATTCATGGAATCAAATTCTGATGCGTAGTTGGCATTGGTAGTAACTTAGGGTATATCCTATTTGAACAAAGCAAGTCACTGAAGCAGTGAGTCTTTTAAAAGTTATACTGTGTTAGTTCCCATATCTGGTGTTAAATTTCTCTATCTGGTATATTCAATTTAACTGACCACTATATACAAAAAGGAATACGCTTAGTATGAACAGGTTGGTATTGTCGATAATTTCTAAGTTTCCTTCACATTATATGGGTGAAATTTAGAGTATTCATTTTGTGCTGGTTTAAAACAAAAAGGCGAGACTTTTAAAAAGCATTAGAAATCTTTAAAATCACGCTTTATTTGCCTGATTAAAGAATTGTTCTACTCAGGAAGAATAATAGTTTAGTTACAAAACCCTAAACCAGGCTGAGCAACTACAGCCATGATATCACAGAGAATTTAGAACACAATTTCTCGATCCCTCCTCTCCAGGGTCACTTCTTCCTCTGAGTGGATAAGACCTCACTTAATGGTCTGCATTGCAAGCTACTCATTCTGGGTTGAGCTATAAACACAAGCCCTCCTATTAATTTCAAATGATGCATTTCTATCTCTGGCTATGAATAAAACAGATCAATGCCACCCACATGTTTTATTGGGCCTCCAGTGAAATGAATCTGTAGGGAGACAGCCAGCAGGATGGAGTTGACATGCAGATGAGATTTGTAAGTGAGGCCATATTGATTATTTCCATCTCAGCTCAAGCAGTAATTCCAGCCAATGCCGCTTCCCCCGTTTGAGCTCATTATTTATGCCATAAAAACACTATCTCAATGATAATAACAGGCTTCGTTTACAAGCCAGAACATAAAGCATCTGCGCTTAAGATTTCAGGAGGTAAGAGAAGAGTGAGAGAGAAATTTAACAAGTCCTGGAGAGATACAAAACTGCCAAGACTTATCATACAGCATTTATTCCTTAAACAGGCAAGAATGAGAACTGGTGTTAGATTGTCAAGCTCTTTATTCATAACTCCAGACTTGTGTAAGTGTTGGATTGATGGAGCCCTCAGAACTTTCACCAGGTTGAACACATTTTATGGGCCTATGAATTCAATATGCATATACTTGATACCAGATTTTAATGTGCCTCCAGGACTGACCTAGAATCTCCTGGTAAGTGTTGGGTACTCTGTAATGCATAACGCTTCCTATTCCAACTCCTAGGTGCTGAGATTTCTTGTGCATCTCTCTTCCTATCTTTGAACCTCTGAGTTTTACTACGCACATCAACTGCCGCTGTTCAACTGATCTGCCTGGGTGTTGGAAGAGGCCATTTGTTCTTTTCAGCCTCCCTGCTTGCTTAGACCCAAAATAATCACACAGAAAACATATTATTTAAATCACTGCTTGGCCTATTAGCTCTGTCTTCTTGTTGTCTAACTCTTACATATTAATTTAACCCATTTCTATTAATCTACATATCACTACGTGGCTGTGGCTTACCAAATAAAGTTCCCAGCATCTATCACCAGCAACTCCATGGCTTCTCTCTGACTCCAACTTCCTTCTCTCAGCATTCAGTTTAGTTTCACTGCCCCCTAGCTCTGCTCCCTTATAGCTCTGCTATAGGCCCAAAACAGTTTCTTTATTTATTAATGAATAAAAGCAACACATAGACAGAAAAAAACTCCCACACCACCTAGGATGTACTGTCTTGTTCTGAAAACAGGCGACTCTTAATTACCTACACACATGTCTACTCAAGTAGGATTAGATCATGAGCAAAGTAATTCTCCAAGGTAATGTTTCAATGATATATTCAATGTCTGGCATAACCTATGTAAATGACTTTCTTATAAAAACTTTAAAAGATTACTGCTTATTCTATTACATTTTACCTATCTGTCTATCATCTATCTATCTATCTATCTATCTATCTATCTATCTATCTATCCATCTATCTGTATCTGGTGTGAGAACGGAACCTACCGTGATGTAGGCTAGGAAGTCAGAGTCCCATCTGAAGCAAGAACCTGCATCCATTTTGCAGGTTCCAGAAATCAAAAACAGGCCATTAGGTTTGGAAGCAAGCACTTTTCCCTTCTAAGTCATTAAATGGTCCTAAAGTTACCATTATGGACCAATAGAGGTAATTCCATTCAAGTCAAAATTTAATGGGTCTGGGATTTTTTTTCTTTTCTTCTATTTTTGGAAGTAAGAATGGTACCATTGCTGTTGAGACATGTTCCCTGCCATGAAAGCATTTAAGCCTGAGGCAGGAGTCAAAAATAGAACACAATCAATAAAATATAATACAGAATCATAACTCAGATATGATAGTCTAAATACATATAGTTGGACACTCCAGGGAGGAAGACATTAAAAAAAAAGGAGAGAAATACAATTTCATTGGGTAGAAAACTCCTTAGCTAGATGTGAAAGCTGCTATTATTCTTATGCTCTGTATTTTAATATTAAAGGTTTAGATTTGTCCTAGGACTTGAGCAGTATATTTATTGGGAATATTTAAGACAATAAAGCTGTGTCAAGAAATAAAATAAAATGAAAACTCAACCATCATCTGAAATAATGAAAACTGCTAATAATGTTACAATGTATGTTGTAGTTCTTTTCTTATTTTGATTTTGATTACAAAATAGATTTATAATTTATATAGTTTTTTTTTTACTTTTAGGTTTTCTCCTAGATAAATATCAAGAGCCTCATCTTATTGTCTTTGTCCATTTATCTTTATTATTCTAATGACTAAAATATTTCCATCTTTGGATTATTTCATGCCTGATATTACCAATTTCCTAACATTTACAGCATTAACAATGAACTTTTGAGTAAAAAATATTCTAACAAGAACTCTAAAAGGTAACTATCTATTCATATATATGACGATTTTTTAGAATAAATTTCTAAAGCTGAACAATCAATTTCATTGAGTCTGTTTAAGCTGTTGAGAGCTATCACACTGTTATTTCTGAGAAATGGTCCTGCACTCTCTTTGCTAGCAGTGTCATGGGAGAATGATTTCACAGACAGCTTATTTACGAGCAAAATTAATGAGGACTGTCTACTCTATGACTAGTTAACTTAGCTGTAATGCTGTATTACTAATACTTGTATCATTCAGGGTTCATGTCTGGAAAATGAACCGAAAGGAAAGAGAAAAGGAGAGTTGAAGCAAATGTTAAAATAACATAAGCTTCATTATAAAATGTAACACCAATTTCATATAAATGTTCTAAGTTGTTTTTATTGCATCATCATGAAAATGCTCTATGTACATCACAAAAACAAATCTGAATTTATAGGATGATTCAGGAATAGCAACAGTTGCCCCAATACTTGGTCTGATTCTTTCCACAAATACAATCAATTTGTAGAAGGTTTATCATCATTCCAAAGAAATTTATTCAAATATATCTATGAACTAATTCAATATAACAAAATGGAAGCATATAAGGAGTTCATTTTACAATTTATATGTAGCAATAATTCTTGGCTAAGATCTCCAGAGTAATTGGGAGAGTAGAAGGGAGGGAGGATTGAAGTGGGGAGGAGAACATGAAGAAACAGGATAGTTAATTGAGGTAAGGAAAAAGAGAGAGAGGAACAAAAGAGCTATCATGATAAAGGGAGACATTACAGGGTTATGCGGAAATCTGGAGCTAGGGAAACTTCCAGGAATCCACAAGGATGATCCCATCTAAGACTCCTAGCAATAGTGGAGAGAACCCTTGAACTAGCCTTCCCCTATAATCAGAGATGACCATCCTAACTGTCATCATAGAACTTTCATCTAGTAACTGATGGAGGCAGATGCAAAGATCAATAGCGAAGTACTAGGCCGAGCTTCCAAAGTACAAGGAGTAAAATCAAAGAGAGGGAAAAGGTATTATATTAGCAAAAATGTCAAGATTATGATGGGGAATCCCACAGATACAGCTGACCCAAGATAGTGGGAGCTCACTGACTCTGAACTAATGGCTAGGAAACCTACTTAGGACCGAACGTGTAAATGTGGGAGGATAGTTCAATGGCTTGGGCAGTCTGCTTGGGCAGTAGTGAGACCGGGATTTATCCCTAGAGCAAGAACTGACTTTTTGGAGCCCATTCCCTATGGATGGACACCTTGTTCACCTGTGTTACATGGGGGAGGGGTTTGTGTTACCCCAACTTATTAATCCAGACTTCCTAGACTTTCCATGGGAGTAGACTGGGGTTTGGGTTGGGAGAAGGTTAGAGGTAGCAGGAGGAGAGGAGGGGGAAATAACTGTGGTTGGTTTGTAATATGAAAAAAGAAATTTTTAAATAAAAAGATTCTTGTAGTTGTGTTTTTTTGTTATTTATTTATTTATTAAAGATTTCTGTCTCTTCCCCGCCACCGCCTCCCATTCCCCCCCTCCGCCCCAAACAAGTCCCCATCCCTCGTCAGCCCAAAGAGCAATCAGGGTTCCCTGCCCTGTGGGAAGTCCAAGGATCACCCACCTCCATCCAGGTCTAGTAAGGTGAGCATCCAAACTGCCTAGGCTCCCACAAAGCCAGTACGTGCAGTAGGATCAAAAAACCATTTGCCATTGTTCTTGAGTTCTCAGTAGTCCTCATTGTCCACTATGTTCAGCGAGTCCGGTTTTATCCCAGTGGAGCGATTTGTGTGATGTGGGGGAGAAATACCTGTGACTCACATTCTGATATTTCTACGTTTCATAGAGAGAGGAAGAAAAAGGACTATAGTAGCCTTCCATTCTTTCCTTCTGGCATATGTCAAGCACTTTGAAATAAGTTGAATTTAAGTCTGAAAGATTTTGACAAACTTGCCCACACTTATATATCTAAGCTTATTGCTTTGGGCGCTTTTCAAAGGGTTAGCACAAGAGGTATATAGTGTATACTTCTTTCTTTCAGTGTATACTCCAGAAAGAACAAGATCTCCCTTGTATGGACCAAAGGTTCCTAGAGGTTACCCAAGCAACCCAGTTTTCCTGCAGATAACAACTATGCTGTCTATGAGTGTCCTTATTGATATTTGAAAGTGTATTTGTCTACTACTTATGCCTTTCCCCTTTCTTCAATTAGTTTTGAACCTAGAATGGGAAATGGTATGCTATTTTAGGCGTTTTCTCAAATAACCCAGTGCACAGTGAAATATGTAATATAAACAGCATTGTTTTGTTTTTTGTTTTTTTTTTGTTTTTTTTTTGATTTTTCAAGACAGGGTTTCTCTGTAGCTTTTTGGTTCCTGTCCTGGAACTAGCTCTTGTAGACAGCAGTGTTTTTTAATACACATATATACATAATTATATGCCTATATATATGTATATATATATGTATATGTGTGTATATATGATTATTTTCTGTCAGACACAAAGCTAAAATATAGTTACAAAAATATGAGTATGTAATAAATCTGTATACAAGAAACAGAGCAATCATTTAAAGCATGAGATTTTTGTAAGCTGTGACAGAATAAAACTGACCTCTTGGGACCTCAGTCTCATAGTTAAGTCAAACTGGTTCCCTTAGTCATTCAAACACTGACTATTTTAAAGTTCTGATTTTTTTCTGACAAGAAACAAACAGCAACCTATTAAGCTTAATTTGCATTTTCTTAATTACATAATAGAGGGTACGGTTTTTTATGTTTGTTGGCCATTTGAATGATTCTTTAAGCAGAGTGATTGTTCAACTCCCCCCCCCATTTTTATATTAGGTCATTTGTCTTTTCTCTTATAGATTTTCAAAAGCATTTTACATATTAATATAGTATTTGCATTTCTCTGTATTGTGTACTGTGAATAATTTCTACATTTATTGCTAGTCTTCTATTGCTTTTAAAATTCTTTGTCTTTTTGTTAAGTGTCATGTAGAAATGGCCAGGTATCTTCAAGTCATATTTATGGATATATAATTTTTGCCAATCAGATTGTCCCTAAGTAAAGACATTAGTTAGAATGATAAAAAAATTATAGAAGTAAACATTATCAGAGGTTTATAAGATCTTTGAAAATGAGCAAGATTGTTTTAAAGAAACAGAAGTTATCAGGAGATGTTTATAATATTCTGTAGAAAAAAACATTATTAAGGAAAAGCATAGTGTGACTGGAGTTTTGAAAGATAAAATTCTAAGGCTAGCAGAGCTATGGAACTAGGAAGCTGTGCATACAAAAAAAATAAATTAAAAAGAGAGGAAAAAAGGTTGTTTTCCACTTTTCCACAACCAAGCCCTTACACATGCTGAACAATGATTCTACAATTAAGCTACAGCCTGAACTTGGGGCTAATGTGTTTCATTGCTGCTTTTTTAGCAGAAATACTTTGCACAATTAGTGTAACAGTAAGTCCTTCTGAAGCCCTCCCTCTCTATACGACCCCTTCAGGTTTGAATACTTCTACGGAATTATAAAATATAGCTCACAAAATATTATGTTTGCATGTTGATTGTCGCAATAACTCTATAGGTTAGCTTTTATCTCTACTTTATTGAGGAGAGAACTTGGGCTCAAATCTGTGCTATGACATTTCCAAGACCATAGAGGAGATTGAAATAATTACTACAGCCCACAGTTTTCCTCAGTGTTGTTTCCACATTGCCATTCCTCAAGTTTAGAGTACTAGAAACATCGATATGAAAAGGTTAAAAACGTTCTAAGTGCTTCCAGGCTTGGTACTTCATATGACTAAAGGCAGGTTGTAAACAAATAAGGAAATAATGATACATTTTCTCAGAATTGTCTATTCCAATTGCTGTGGTGACTTTTCTGTTCAGATCAAAAGTGTTATTAAGAGAGACACTCAGTTTCTCTCCCCACAACTGGTTTCAGTATTTAAAAATATATAGCTTGATGTTGGGTGAAGGATGACTCTGGTTAATAAGCAAATGATGATAGACTCTTTAAACACCACTGTGACTAAATGTGGTTCTAATTCCATTTTAAGGACTTTTATTTATTCTCTCTCAATTTTATATATATTTGTAACATATTTTTATTATAACTCCACCATATTGCTTCTTATATTCTTCTTTCCTGTAAACTGCTGACATACTTTCATATCTTTATTGTTTATGTCCCCTGTGTCTAATTACATTTTCTTATATGTACATGGATAGGTGATTTACCACACCATAGGCAACTTATCAGTGAATACCCACCTTAGAAAAAAATCTCTGCCTTTAGCCGGGCGGTGGTGGCGCACGCCTTTAATCCCAGCACTCGGGAGGCAGAGGCAGGTGGATCTCTGTGAGTTCGAGACCAGCCTGGTCTACAAGAGCTAGTGCCAGGACAGGCTCAAAAGCCACAGAGAAACCCTGTCTCAAAAAAACCAAAAAAAAAAAAAAAAAAAAAAAAAAAAAAAAAAAAAAAAAAAATCTCTGCCTTTCCTCAGCAATCACTGTCAATAGACCCTCGTCTAGGGCTAATGCTTCATGCTTCTGTGTGCATGCTATTCTGATGATAGGACTTTTATATATGTTTCGTTCAGGTTCCCACACTTTCTGTTCATTCATGAGTACAATAGCCATGCCATAAGTTTTTCAGCACTTTATTGCATCCCCCAACTCTGACAAGCTTTTTTCATCTCTCTTCTACAATATTCCTTGACACTATGATGTGTGTGTTTATGTGTGTGTTTATGTGTGTGTGTGTGTGTGTGTGTGTGTGTGTGTGTGTGTGATAGATGTCCTGTTTAGAGATGAATCATAAATCATTAATTATTCTCAGTGCTTTGACAAGGTATAAATCTATATTTACCAATTCAAGTGCTGAAAGCAATTTCTCTGATCAAGTGAGAGCCTAGTACTAATCTATGAGTATAAATATAAATATTTAAAAAGCAGTTTACCAATATTTCTGTTTTGCAAAAATACCATAGTAGGTTTCTTCCTAAGGTACTTTGATTTGTCCAGGTTTATATGGACTGTTGATAAGATAATCATTACAATACTAGTCATTAATTCCTTCTTTTGGGTGGACCTGAAACCCACTACAAAAGTGATTAGTATCGCTCATGATACTCATGTGACTCTTGAACCATAGGAAACTCCCTGACTAGAAGGTCAGTATTGTGAAATATAAGGTCCACCACTGGTCATTCATCTATGACTGTTCTTTTACAGAAATATTTTAGTACCTGCTAACACCAAGAAAGCTAATCAGAAGGGGGAAGTTTATAGGCCAGTTCCAACATGTTTTTCTTATGTACTGCAACTAACACATTTGGTGTCTTCAGTAATAGGATCTTATTTTCTAGTTTCATCAAGCAATCAAGAGCCATGGCAACAGTCTGAATTGTTTGAGGGGCTATGTGAACTCCCAGATAACAAATTAGAGAAAAATTTTTCACAGAATGCTAGGATTTTGTTGTGTTTTTCATTGTAGCCTTGAAAGTTATATTATTGTTTGAAAATTTCTATCGGCACATGATGTGTTTTACTCAAATATAGTCCTAATTCCCTCCCTTCTATTTTTCTCCTTAAGCCCACCATCCTCTTTTCTTTCCCAAACTCACGTGCTCTTTTAAAATGTTCAATGCATTCACTCAGTGCTGCCAGTATTAAATATCTATAGTGCTATCTACTGGACAACAGATAGCATTTTGGTGGTTCCATCTCTGAAGAAAACAGTCTTCTTTTTACAACATTCATCAACTACAAATGGCTCTTTCGATAAGGCAAATATTTCTTGGGCCATTTCTCCATCCATGCTGATTTTGACTGTCTTGATCATGTACATATAATTTACATGCAATCACAGCCTAAGTGAATTCAGAGTACATAGGGCCTGCCGTGTCCAACACATACTCTAGTTTTTGTAGATGTCCATTACCTTATCTTTGGCAGTCACTAGTGTTTTATTCATTATCTCAGGGTTTTTAAACAACATTATCCATCCATTCAGGGTACTACGGTCTATACTCATTTCCCCCAAAAAAGAAAAACAGAATAGAAAAAGAAAGAAAAAAGGAAGAGGTAAAGAATAAACATGCAGAGTGGCAGCTTTCAATAAGGTGAATCTAATTCAGATGATGAAATAATGCTGGGTTTTTATATATTATAGAATGGCAGACTATCTGCTCTTCTGGTTTGAACTGAAACTGTCCATTGAAAATATGCAATGCCAAACTTCTCAAATACATATAGATTTTTAGTGATAGCTTCTCTACGAAGAGTCTAGGATTCTACCTTTGACAAGAGATACAACTGCTTGCCCTAAGGAAAGACATGTTCACTTAGGTTTCAGAACCTAGACAATGAAGGCTTAAACAATATCACAATTGATTCCAACTACTAATCCAAAGAATATATGCTGGAGAGAAAAATAAAATGGCACTAATTAGAAATGAGAATATGAACCAGGAAGGTCAGAGAGATGGCTCAGAGGAGATGGAAAGCTAAAACTGAAGGCTGAGCTGAGTTTCTGAAGAATATACATGACAGGAAAGAAATCCAGAGCCAGAAAGGCTATAGGTAGATGGAGGATTTGAGAGGAGGAAATAAGATGTAATGGATATGATGTGGTTTTAAAAAAAGAAGAAAATAGATGGTCAAGCTAATACAAAGTACAGAACACAGGAAACTTTTGTGATTTTTGTTAGTGAATGAGAAATTTTGATGAGTTATAAATGAAGGAATGTTTCAATGGTACACAACTTTTTCTTTATGATATTTGGCTAGAATAAATGATGATCTTTAGAACTATGAACATTAACTAAATTTGATAAACTCCTTGCTTTAGAGGCAGCATCAAATTTAAGGGACATCAATAACTTTAGGAGTAAAGCAAACAGGGCAATAAATGAAAGCTCATGACCTTGATATGAGGGATTTACAAAAAGAAAACATTGTTAATAGCAAACTTCTCAAAACTCCCAGGTTTTAGAGAATCCCTTCTTGCCATTTGATTCTAAAGTTAATCACACCATATCCTGACCATTTACCTGTAAGAAGTCTGAGAATTTAAGTGGTGAATGACAGGGATGGACCTCATGTTAGTCTTCACTGAAATAAATGAATGGACAATTGGATAAAATGGGCATGTAAATGAAATGGCTACTGTGCTTCACTGCAGGATTTGCTGGCAGTTTATTATGCAGCAATACACATGGAAACAAACTGCTTATAGTGTTTTGGCTGGGGTGAGATAATTAAAGTAGTGATTTCAAACCTCCGGCAATAGTAGGAGACATTTGGGAGGTTTTGTGAAGATTAACTATTCTAGGTCCCACTTGTCTGGATCCTAAAGGATGTATCAGTAAGACTTTGTGCCCAGGAATCTGTATTTTTATAGATATCTATTAAATTTTGATATTCAGCCAAGTCTCAGAACTACTGAATTTAATAAGCTTGCCAAGACCCATTCAGCCCATTGAGTCTGTAAATTATCAAACTGCAGTAGAACCAACATGAGACTGGCTCGATGTAGCTAATGTGGATTGCCAAATGTTTTATTTTAAATCTTATTTGAGGTGAAAGCAAAATGATATTAGTAAATAAGAAAAAAATTGATTAGTGCCAAATTCTCCCAGTTGTTAGGCATTGAAGACACAAACTATCATACATATATACAATATATATTCCATATATATTCCAGTTATCATAAGGAGTAAATATGTCTTCGCCTATGCTTGAGGTATATTAGCCTCAGTGAGGAACATGTCATTAGATACTGATTTTGAATATTCAAGATTATTTTAAAAATGGGTTTAAGGGGCAAAATAGACGGACTGAGCGGAAGCCCGTGCGGGGTCTGAGAAGGTGAGCTGACTCTTCTCACCTCTGGGAACGTCAGGGTCTGGGAAGCCGAGAGAAGCCTGGCAGGTGGAATTGGGCCAGTCGCTGAAGCTTATTTTCTCAGCCCACGAAAATTTTTACATTTTGATTTTTGCCTTACAATGGCTTCCATTCACAAATTACTGGCTGGTACTTATATTCATAGAAACTTCCTGAAGCCAAGGGCTGCCTTGCATGGGTATTCTCTCCGTAGACTATTCTTCCAGTCATCTTCAGAAACCGGTGGCTTCTGCTGACAGAGTCTCCCAGCAGAAGTCTGAAGAGGTTTTACAAGAGGACCACCACAAATACGTTGCTGTGGATATCACTTCCCCTGACAAGGCATCCGAGCACAGTTTTGATAAAGCGATCAGAGAGGAAGCAGTGGAGCACCTCAGGCGCCTGAAGAATGAAATTGCGGCTCACTGGATAGGCCCTGAAGGCCGCCCACTACGAGAGGTCCTAATGGAGCAAGCCCAGGTTGTCTGGCAGTTTCGTGAGAAAGAAGATTTGGAGAAGTGGATGGTGACTTCTGATAAGACAATCGGAGGCAGGAGTGAGATATTCTTGAAGATGGCCAAGAACAACCAGAGTGCTCTGCTCTTTGGAACTCTGAGCTCTGAGGCCCCTCAGGATGGAGACAGTAGCCAGAGTGGCTACTGTGCCATGCTATCCAGGGTTCGAAGGGTAGGCGAGACCTGGAAGTCAGTTTTCTAGTGTTTGGTTGTAGCATGAACTATAACAGCTTGCTTTTCTGTAAATGAACACATATGTTTTGTTTAAAAAAAAATGGGTTTAATTTTCTGAGGTGAATATCAGCAATTTTCTTCCCATACATTCATCTTTAAACCAAGCAGCCTACACTTAATTGAATGATCACCTAATTAAAGTGAGAATCATAGGTAAAGTCCAGCTACTGTCACTATACTTTGCTGAAAATAATAATAATACATAGCAATAATAATAATATAAACTGCCACTGATTAAATTATTGGTTACTGTGTGATGGAACTAATTAGTTTACTTGTCAATGTCTTCATTTTTTAAATTGTCATGAAATATTTTTCATGCTTCTTAAATTCATTTTAGAGATTACAGAGAATAATAGAAAATGTCACTTGTATTGGCAGCCATATCCCTAAAATCTTGCCTCAAGCATATTTAAAACATTCTGTAGCCTAACTACAGCTCAATTAAAAATCTAAATTAATTTTTACTCATTTCTTCTCCTTTTTTGCAGTAATCCATTCAGCTTTAAAGCTCAAGTCGTGATGTTCAGGGAAAGAATAAGGTCATAGAGAAAAAGACAAGATGACAGACAGGTGATCCAGGAGAAAGCAATAGAGCAATTTCAGCCATGGATCTTGGGTTTTGTACATCTTGTTTCATATCTTGGCTTTCTTAACTTTCAGCTCATGATTGAATTCATTCCTCAAGTCTAATTCTCATTTTATAAAAGAAGTTTAAAAGGATTGTTTGGTAAACAAATGAATGCACATATTAAGTCTCGGCAGTGCAGAGAGCTCATGCCAAGCATTTTGTCACTGCTACTAATTGTCATCACAGAAGAAGTGGTAGGACAAATAACAATAAAAGAATTAACATCAGACTAGGGATAACAGTATATATGCAAATTGTGCTTTTCTTCTGGGCTATAAAATTTTTTCTCCTTTATCTGATTTGTTCTGCCATGGATCTTTCCATTGTATTTTAGCCGTTAGAATGACTATCGTGTTTTTTCCCCAATAATATAGTTGAAGTATTATAATTGTGATGTTTTAAAGCTCTGAAAGGGAGGAGCTTCAAAACACCAACTGTATGCCAGGCACTTTCCATGTCTTAAGTGGGTACACTGTAAATTAAAATTTAGATCATTAGCCCTACTTGATAAATGTAAAATATCTAAAATCACAATTTTAAGGGGATGGAGAGATGGCTCTGTAGATTACAGTGCTTGCTGATTTCTCAGAAGACCAGAATGTGGTTCCTAGTACCTACATTAACAGTGACATAAACACCTTTATCTCCAGGTCCATGGATTCCAAAACCTTTCTATATCATAAGTTATATGCTCTCACATGTCTGCACACATACTCACAAATAAAAGTAAAATAATCTTGAAAATATTTTGACACAATAAAGAAATAAATAGAACAGGATACTAGAAGATGGAAAGATTTTCTGTATACATAAATTGGTAGAATTAGCACTCTGAAAATGGTTATTTCAAAACAAACAAAAATCTACATACATATCAGATATGTACTATCTAATCAGATCTAATCAAACATGCAAAGACATCTCTCAGAGAACTAGAAGAAATCAATCTCAACATTCATTGTAGATGGAAATGCCAAAGGTCCGTGAATATCAAGTCAATACTAATCACAAAGATTAATGTAGGAGGAATCACAATATCTTATTTTAAGCTTCACTAGAGCATCTAAGAAACAGATAGAATGATTCAGCAAATATATAAATCATGGAATAGAGGAGTATATATGTACATAGCTCTAGCTACCTATGTTGAACAAATGTCAAAAAAAAGAAGTTGGTGGAAAAAAAGTCAACCTCTTTAACAAAATATTTGGCGAAACTAGATATTCACGTGTAGAGAAATGAAATTCAATCAATATCTCTCTTCTCCTTTCCAAAAATTCAAGTTTATCAGGCATTAATATAAAACTTTGAAACTTCAAATTTGCCAGTAAAAAACATAGGACACTCAAGTCGCAGGTTGCAACACTTTTGGCAAACCTCTATCTGCAAAACTATTCATATTAGGATCCATAACAGAAGCAAATTACAGTTATTAAATAGTAACAAAAGTGATTTTTTGGTTGGGGATCACCACAACATGAGGAATGTATTAAATGTATAGCAAAGTTTTAATACATGTATTAAACACATTTTTACATGTGTTAAAGTATCACTTAATCAGGAAGATTGAGAACCACTGAGCTAGAAGGAACTTAAACTGTTGGAGCAAAATGTACATAAAACTTAAAAATGAACAATACAACAGTATTGTACCTCCCCAGGAAATGAATTCAAAGTTTTTATGTCTTATCATACATGTACCTGCATATTCAACTTTATTGTTATGTAATTAACAATATCTAAGAAGTAGAACAAAATGTCTACCAATAAATAATGAAAATATACCATATATAACAATAGAAGTTTAACTGCAAATAAAAATGAAATTATGAAACCTACCCTGAAATGGAAAGAACACATAGCTTTTTATTCATTAGTGACATATATATTAATTTCATATATTATGTTATAAAATACATAAATATATTGTATATATTCATATGCAACATATATGTAATATATGAATATATGTCCCTATTTTTATGTATGTGTATATAGATTCATAGGGAGCTATGAAAGCAGTGGGATCAGGTGAAAGAGAACATTCTCAACAGGAGGAAGAAATGAAAGAGAAGACAATAGATTAGATTTCAAATTTTAGATTATAATATCAAAATATACCAGGCCACAAGGTTTTCCCTGCATCCCTCAGTCACTGCCTGTTACAGAGCCTTAGAGTTTATAACCCAGGTGCTGGACTGCTGTTCCCTGCTGCTATTCCCCATAGAATTTAACCATTTTGGTTATCTGATCTTTTCTGTCTGCTCTCTTTTAATCCTCCTGGCTGCTGCACCTGCAGGTCAAATCATTTATTATGACCATGTCAAACACAGAGGGAGGAGGAAATGCAAGGTTATGTATTAGGGTTTTACCTCACCTTTAGTGAGATGAAGAAGTGCTTCCTGTGAATCACATTAAAAAGAATAATTCCAGTCTCTAGACTCTATGGTTTACATTCAGAAAGAAAACAGGATGGGTGGCAGAGAAACTAGAGCTCTCAGAACATCTAGTTCTAAGGTTGTTTCTTAGGCCTTTACTTCGGGGTATTACATTTTGACCAGTCCAAATACCCTTAGGCTCTCTCTTGATAACTAACAGAACACAGGCTAATCTAATTTTGTTGCAGGTTATAACAGGAGAGCAATTGCTTTCATCTGTTCGGTTGATTTTATGCACCTCTATTCCCCATTCAAGGAGCTGATGGTGTACTGAAGTGGGAAGAAACTCTAAAAACCTTATCACCATTCATTAATTAGAAACAGTCATTGGAGATTGAGAGAGGAGCTGTTGTGGTTTTCCTCCCTGGGGCCTGGGCTGGGATGATTCCCCACTGGGACATTTCTATTTTGCTTGAGTTAATGATTCCAGTGTAATCAACTTCAGCCAAAGAGAGTACAAAATAAAGAAGAAATAAAGGAAAATTGTAGGGATTACACATAAACTCTCTTTGGCCATATGTAGGCTTGCACAGCTAATGACTTCCCCATTCAGGCTCTTCAGGGGCTGCCTATTGTAATGGTCCTGAGCACTCAGAGGAAAGTGCTGTGGGAGTTGGAAAGGAGCAACTATTATGAATGGATGCTGAGGATGGCACTTTGATTAGGGAGGAAGGCCTTCCTCACACTGACTGCCTTTTATAGATAGGGAAGTGCTGGGCCCAGGGAAGCACACCAGATGCTGGGCAAGATCCATTTTTCTCTCGTATAAAATTACAAGGGAAATGGGGAAAGGAGTGGGGAGGGGAATAGCAGGACAGAGTCTTTGTCTTCTTGAACGACCTAGACCTTCCTGGGATTTGAATGGAACATTTTCAGAATAATTCATCTGATTCAAGAAAGGGCAGCAAACACAAAACTCATTACATTCAACAAATAGAAATGGGGCTGAAAAAGAGATGAATTTGATGATTACTAATATCATTGTTTGTAAAGAGCACACAGAAATATTTTAGATATATGAAGTGGTACACTTATGGATTGTTGGATTTATCAATATACTCTGCACAATTAAAATATATGAAACCAAGTATCTGTGTTATTTTACCTGGAACTTCAGCCCATAAAACACTAATTTAAGGAGTTTACCTAGGTTAGGAGAGAACGAGGTTCTGAGGTTTCCTGCCACTCTAAGACCACATAGTTATCTTGGGACACCTCAGACATACCAAAAAAAAAAAAAACAAAAAAGTCGAGTCGAGCTTGAGTCGAGCTTGATTTTCACAGCGCTATTGGCATAGACTATGCAGAACTACTGGGCAATCTGTTTCAGCTTGCAGAACTTCTCTTCTGTCATCTACAAATTACAAAATAAAACCCCCGAGGACTGTGGGAGGCTTAATGAGATAGGCAGGCCAGCATTTGGAAAGGAGAAATCTCTCAGCCTATACTACTTTTAGATTTGCCACCAAATTTATTATTTCCCACCAAACTTTCTTAGCACTTTAAATGAGTCAAAGATATATATTCTATAACAGTTGTTGTCTTTTTAATAATAGAGCTTTGTGCAGTGTGGCCATCACAAGTGTTATTATTAAAATGATTACAGTTTTAACTGTTATTAATTGTTTAGTATATAGATATTGCCACCTGTTAGAATAATTATTTTTTGTTCAAAAACATAAAAAATACATGAAGTAAATAGGTCAAGTGGGATATTTAATGATTGCCTCAGCCTGTGCCTGTGGTAAAGGAAGAGATAAGACTGTGGTATAAAGGTAACACATTAACCTGGTTACCTCATTGAGGATATGTATTTGAGTGAAAACTATTGAAATGAATGAAATATATAACTTGGGATACCTACAGAAAGTTAAAAGTATTTGCCATTCTTTATCAATTTAGGGCATTCTATAT